AAATTATAAATATTTATCATATTAACAAAAATAAATAAATAAATATAAATATATTAAACAACTTTATATATTAATGTATATTACATTTAAATTACTTTAATAGTTAAAAACAAAAACAAAATAAATAAACTATTAAATCTGTTGTCGATTGCGTTTCCCATTAACTCATTGGGCTTGCATTTGCAGCTTAATTATGAAACCCCCAAGAAACATAATTCACAAAAACTTTCAGAAGTTTTTTTTAGCTGCTGCAAAGTGCCCAAAGCTCCAAACTAAAAAACAAATAACTTTCGAGCTATTTAGCTAGCAATTAAAACGGCACATGAACTTTCAACTCGACTGGGAAGAAATGAAATATAAAAAGCGAAATAGGAAAACTAAAAAAACAAACACCAAACAAATTTCAAACTAAACCAAGCCAAATAAAGTAAACAAACAAAACTGAATGCAAAAAGACAAACACGCGAAGCAAACTAAAAGGAAAAACACAGAGAAGAAGAAGCAACAGCAGAAGCAATCGTAGAATTAGCCACAAATCGGTAAACAAAAGCACAATTGTTATAGTCTAGCGTGTAAAAAGGAGGCGTGGCCAATGTGACACCCACAAAAATGTTCAAATAGAAAACTTTTTGTTTTCCCAACGAGTTTTTGTTGGCTGCGAAAACGCAGAACAATGCGAGCTGAGAACTAAAAGCTGAAACTGGCACAAAACAAATGAACAAAAAATCATTTGCTTCTTCTTCTTCTTTCAATTTTGGCTAAGATAATAAGCCAGGCCAAAGGCCGGTCCAGTTAGCAAAAAAATAATAATAAAAATAATGCAAAAAACTCTAAAAGAAAACGCTATAAAAAACTCTAAGCCAGGTCGTGGTAACTACAAAGGTGTTAGCGGTGGACAAATGATTGCCAGAGATGAAAGCGTGACTAATTGGAGATGGTAACAGAGAGAGAGAGAGGGAGTGGGAGGAGGAGAGAGAAGGTAGAAGCGAACTGGAGATTATGTGCGATTTAAATGTACTTGAATTCCATAAATGAAATACGAAATGCAGAAAGAAAGAGGA